CACAAATACAGAATAATCTTACATTTAAAGCAGTTACCACAGTCCATGATTCAACTGCTCATTCATAGAACTTACACACTGGACTCAAAAACTGTTCATTATTAGAACCTACAGACAGGATTCAATAACTGTTTATTCACTTTATCTACAGTCTAGATTCAATAACTGCTCATTCATGGCATCTATAGACTGGACTCAATAACTGCTCATCCATGGCATCTACAAACTGGATGTATTAACTGTCCATCCATGAAACTTGCAAACTGAATTCAATAACTACTCATTCATAGCATCTACAGACTGAATTCAATAACGACTAATTTATGGTATCTACACACTGGATTCAATAGCTGCTCATTCATATCATCTACACACTGGATTCAATAGCTGCTCATTCATGGTATCTAGAGAATGGATTCAATGTAATCATTCATATAATCTACAGACTGCATATAATTAAAGATAGCTACATTATCAGTGCTGCTGATTGTTAGAGTCAAATGCTGGCATATTTTTTGATATTTGGTATAGGTCTTATAATTTACCAATATTACCAATAACTTGCATACCTCTACCAGTCACTGCACACCGTCTTACGCATACGGAAGCTCCATCCGCAAGCCAATGAGTTCAGCTAATGCCAAATTTGTATAGGAATTGTGTTGCTTTTTCAAAACTTTAAATGTACAGAATATCGGAACTGGTTATCGGCAATCAGTCTGAAAGGCTACTGATAATATGTACAGGCATCAGCTTTGGAAAAATGATATTGGTCAATCACTAGACAATATAGCTTACTGAAGTGTTCTATGTGTGAAGAGTGTGTCCTTTTTTCATTTTACATAAAGCACAGATTTCAATAGAAATTGGTACTTTTATAAATAGACCTTATTACACAAAAAATCTCCCCATTTACATAAAGTAGGTATTAAAATGTTCTAAATAGAACAAGACCAGAACATTGCAGCAATTATTATTTGACTCTTGCACATGTTTGATTGAGGATAGCCTAAGTAATGGGCCCATCTTCATGGAATGGCATTTCTTGTTAGGAAAATGGAGTTTGCATTTTTAGTTAGCATCAATGTTAAAGGGACACTATAGTCACTCAGACCACTTCAGCTCAATTAAGTGGTCTGGGTGCCGGGTCCCTCAGGTTTTAACCCTTCAGATGCAAACATAGCAGTTTCAGAGACACTGCTATGTTTACATTTGGGGTTAAGCCAGCCTCTAGTGGCTGTCTTCCGGACAGCCACTAGAGGCGCATCTGCGACGCTGGAGGCATATTATGCCTCCATCGCGCAGAGCGTCCATAGGAAAGCATTGAGAAATGCTTTCCTATGGACACTTTGAATGCGTGCGCGGCGCTTGCCGCACATGCGCATTTGGCTCCGCTGACGTCGGATGGGGGAGCTGACGTCGGAGTGGGAGGAGAGGTCACCAGCGCCAAGGGAGCCCAGGGCTGGATTAAGGTAAACTGCTGAAGGGGTTTGAACAACTAGAACAGTAGAAAGTTATTCATTTAGAACCAAAGAGGGCCTGTCTTTAGTTTTACCCACACTAAATTTTGGGAAACAGGTATCTCTTACAATTTCCCATCCCCCCTTCAGCTGGATGTCCTCGGGTGAAAGGAGAAAGTACGTAGTTACAAACAGCTAGATTAACATGTACATCAATAGCTCATCACATTTTGGACTTTGGACGCAAGTCCACTACTTTCCTTCTAGTGAAATCCAATCGAACTGATCTCATGCTTAGTGCATTTATAGAGGTGTCCTACTTAAAGGGACACTATAGTCACCAGAACAACTACAACTCGTATTTGTTCTGGTGAGTATAATCATTTTTTTTTTTTTGTGCAGTAAACAATGTCTTTTCAGAGAAAATACAGCTTAGGGATACCTCCACTGGCCAGTCCTCAGATGGCTACTAGAGGTGCTTCCTGGAGCAGTGCTGGTCGTTCAGTGTCTCCTCCCTCTGCATGCAGACACTGAACTTTCCTCATAGAGATGCTTTGATTAAATCCATCTCTATGAGGAGATGCTGATTGGCCATGGCTATGTTTGGCTCTGCCCCTGATCTGCCTCCTTGACAGTCTCAGACAATCCTATAGAAAAATCAATACTTCTGATGATGTCAGCCAAGCAGGCAGATCAGGGGCAGAGCCAGCAGCTGCAGACATGAACAAAAGTAATATTTCAGTATATTTAGGGGGCCAAGGGGCTAGATGGTGGTTTTAACACTATAGGGTCAGGAATAAATGTTTGTGTTCTTGACCCTACAGTGTTCCTTTAAAGTGGAGTTTGTGTGTCTTGACATTGACACAAAATCCATCACCTAACAGGTTTTTTATATGTATAATTGAGTGTTTTTTTTAATGTTATATTATGTTGCAGTTTTTTTTCAACTATGTCATATTTGTTTATATTTTTAAGAAGATAACTATAATATGTATTTCTACATTTTTATTTGGTTATTAAATTCTAAAAATAAATATAAACATTTATCGGGTACGGCGGGGTTAAACACTCCATTTTTACTTTTTTTTCATGCAATTCTGATATGAAACAATTTGATTATTTGATCTAATTCTCAGGATTAATTTACGTAGGCTTAAATCAGCATTTAATGTAAAATTATATTCCAATGTAAAATTATATTCTATGATTGTTTGTTTTTTGTTTTAAGAAAAAGAATACAGCCATATTAGAAACTTTAAACTGGAGGGATGTTAGCCACTTTTTTTCTATCCATTTGCAACATGTCCCCCCTTCTATTGTAAGTAGACAAACGGTTAATCTCACTTAGCTCAGGCTTGGCTTTGACAGAGATGTCGAATGAACTGAAGGCGTGAAGAGTTGCCCGGTGGACCCCAGGTAAGAACTTAAACTGTCCTGAAACAGTTTGACTATTTACAGACGGGGATCACCAGGGACTTTCTGCCACCATAACCACTACAGCGTGCTATAGTGGTTATCGTGCTTGAAGTGTGCTTTTAACAGATGTAACTTGTGGTGAATCAGATTGGGAAGACAAGGTGAATCAAATTGCTCAATTGAGTTTTGCAAAAACTTTAATATAAAGTTTAAACTTAAAATGCATATTAATATTTAAACGCAATATTTTGTAGGACTGTAGAAAAGTCAGGTGTCTTTGAATCCCATTTTGAAAAGAGAGATAAAAATGAAGACTAGCTGTCGAAAGGTACAACAATAAGGCATCTTAATTGTTTTCCTTGTAATGATCTTTTATCTTCCAGCAGTGTATCAGGAATATTTCCTATGAACAATATTTCGAGCTATAGATATAACGTTTATTCCTTGACCAATATTGTTCAACCTCCAACAATGAACTGTTAATAAAGATGCAATGTAGGCAGAATGTTGAGTAATATGTCCGAGTTCTCGTTATCTCTTGTTTTTAGTGACATTATTGTATTTGTCAATTGCTTGCTGTTACACATACTTGTTGGATAGGTGTAAAGCCATGTGGAATATTTTGGCATCTCAAGGAATTGTCAGATTATATATTTATTTTACATGAATGGTGTTTACTTCCACTGCTACTCCATAAACATATGAATAAATGTAACAGGTTTTTAATAAACGCTGTAGTGGTTATGGTGCAAGGTATGTCGTGGTGCACTTAGTGTAAGTTAGTAAACCGTTTGAGAATGTTTTGACCACTTAACTGAGGTCCACTGGTTGTCAACCACTGCCTCTTATGCAGATAAAATGCTCTGCACTGAGCTAAGCCCGGCGATGCAGGGATGTGATCACTGGCTAAGAACACTCAGCTGATGCTCTTATCAAATGAATCGTTCCCTGCATGGAGGGGCTAAGCTCAGTGCAGAGCTTTTGGCCAAGAGGAGTCAGCAGTGGGCGTTCAGAGATCTCCAGGTAAGTTGTGAAAGTATTGTCAAACAGTTTGAATTCTTAACATAGTAGAGAGTATAGGATATAGGAGGGAAGCAGAAAGACATAGACAGAGTATAGTAAGCAGACGAGAAACCAAAGGGCATGAACAGAGTATAAGATGTAGGTGGGAAATCGATGGACAGAATATAGGATGTGGACGGAAGAATGAAGAGAGCATAAGATTTAGGTGGGACACAGAAGGAAAGAGATTGAACAGGAAAGAAGAGCAAGTGGTAAAGCATCCACAAGCATGTATAAACTGTTAATGTAGACATCTGTTATGTGCATTTTGGTGTTGTTAAATGGATGTTTATTGTATATCTTCTAGTGTTTTAAAGAGATTTCATGTGACTGAATTATATGAAAAGGTGGAATTGTATCCAGTCTGTTTATGATAAATATATCTTAATGAATCCTAAGAATCATGTCTCTTTATTTCTTTTGTCATTGCAGTATGTGGCATTCGCCTCACTCTTCTTCATCCTGGTCTCGATCACCACTTTCTGCCTAGAGACACACGAACGATTTAATCCTATCGTCAACAAAACAGAGACTGAAATTGTTGGGAATGAGACCCACCTGCGTTACTACAGGGAGACAGAGACAGAGGCATTCCTCACCTACATCGAAGGGGTTTGTGTGGTTTGGTTTACATTCGAGTTTTTGATGAGGATTACATTCTGCCCCAAAAAGGTGGAATTTATCAAAAACACTCTGAACATCATTGACTTTGTGGCCATTCTGCCTTTCTATCTGGAAGTTGGACTTAGTGGCTTGTCTTCTAAAGCTGCTAAAGACGTCTTGGGCTTCTTAAGAGTTGTCCGATTTGTGCGAATCCTTCGAATTTTCAAGTTGACAAGGCATTTTGTGGGCCTGAGGGTTCTAGGACATACCCTCCGTGCCAGCACAAATGAATTCTTGCTTCTCATCATATTTTTGGCATTGGGTGTCCTAATTTTTGCCACAATGATCTATTATGCTGAGAGGATAGGTGCTAATCCAAATGATCCTACTGCCAACAACCACACACATTTTAAAAATATCCCAATTGGCTTCTGGTGGGCCGTTGTCACCATGACCACGCTGGGCTACGGAGACATGTTCCCTCAGACCTGGTCTGGCATGCTTGTAGGAGCTCTGTGTGCTCTTGCTGGTGTGCTTACCATTGCCATGCCTGTACCCGTCATTGTGAACAATTTTGGAATGTATTATTCACTAGCTATGGCTAAGCAGAAACTACCAAAGAAAAAAAAGAAGCATATTCCACGGCCACCCCAACTGGGATCCCCCAATTATTGTAAATCCGTTGTAAACTCTCCACACCACAGTACTCAAAGCGATACATGCCCGCTCGCACAAGAAGAAATTTTAGAAATTAACAGAGCAGGTAGGAAACCACTTAGAGGAATGTCCATTTGACCTTTAAGCTTCACTTCGTGTAGAGAATTAAGATTCAATCATACTCCTTTAATAGCGAATGAGAAGCACATTTATCGCTGACAGTCCCATGTCACGCATGATATAAGCGTGATGCTGTTGGATCGGTGGGACATGCAAGTAAAGGGAGTAGAAGTTGTGTGTAGTATCAAGGGTCACATCCATCAGTTCGGATGCCTTGCTTTTTGCATAGTAGGAAGGATAAATATTTAATGCAGCTATAGGTCATATTTTGGAGAAAGTCAGTTCAGGATACTGCATTACCAGTTTTTACGGACTATAATGCTGAATAGGTTCTAATATTAGCTGAATATGAGAGAAGCTTCTGAGGTCAGCTCCCAAACGATAGTTGACTAAATGGGCATAGGATCCTTGAAATGCCAGATTTTGTCAGAATTTCGTATTTTTGCAAATGACCGTTCAGCTGTTGATGTTTCAATAGAGTGATACTAAAAAAGCATATGAACTGAATCATTGTTGAGAGGAGGGGGTGTCCAGTGCTAAAAATAAGGCTGCAATAGAAAATTGTGAGAGAATTTATATATCTTTCAAACAGCTAACTAGAAGTAGTTCTTTAGCTAAATTTACTGACACAGCACAAGTGTCTCACTAGGAGCTAAATCTAGACTTACTGTAGGAATATTACTCTTGAGCATGCAAGGAAATCTATTAAACAGTGTATTATATAGAGAATAGGTTTTATAATATGAATTTTGATGGACTTTATGGGGGGGTGTAAGAAAGTTAATTTGCAGGTGCATTGGAGAATATAACATTTTAAAAAGCTCTTTAAGACTGTGACAGATACCTATTGACCCCATCAGAACAAAACAATCCAGCAAAAATGTGGGAGAACACCCACCACTGTATGATAATCTCACAAAAAAAGAAAGAAAGAAGACAGCCAATTGATCATTGTGATTTATGCCAGCAATATGCCCATTCTTAGCCAGTTACACTACAGGGGTATCGGGGACGGGGTTGTAGTAGGGGTCAAAGTTACCGTAGAAAATATTATAACATCCCATGGCTAGTGGTCAGTTATGGGATCATCTCAGTTTTATGAGAAGTGATTTTTTTTGTGTATAATGGGGCTTTGATCTGATAATTTTTCTTTATTTATTTTTACCCATAAACTACCTCTATCCTTGGAATATTTGCAGTGTTCAATAGAAATAAAAACCATAAATAAAAAAAAATTAAAAAAACACAAAAATATAACCAATACAAGAACCAATACGATCTTTACATATATCCAGTATTATAACCGTGTCTCTTCAGGATGCATGATAAACATTAATATTTGTATTATTTACCAACACACTCATATGAATATGTGTGTGTATATATATATATATATATATATATATATATATACACACACACACACACACAACATTTTTTAGGCTTACTAGCCAAGAAGCAAGAAGAAAATGTTACTTGTCCTTTTCTCTGTGCACAGATGAAACATACATATGCATCAACATTGACAGATATAATGATAAATACAGTCATATGAGTGCAGATTCTCATACAGACAATCAGAATTGGATGCACACACATCTGTATAGATATGTGCACCACCTAAAACCCACAAGACCATTTCAAATCACAAGCTTTGCTACTTTATTTTCCAATCACAGATACCCAATTTGCCAAAATTGGATGGTCTCATGACTGCGCACAAACTATACAGTTCTTATGTTCCCAAACCTCCCAACATTTCAAATGGACAAAGAGGGACACTTTCATTTTAGGGGTGTGAGTGGGGGTGTGGCTGTTCGGACTTACGAATAACAATTTATCAACTAAAATATAATTTAGAACAAGAACAGTGTATCTGATTTACACAGACTGATTTCTAAACACATTTACCGTAGTTTAAAAAGACACATTACTGGCAGTATTATTGCTGCGGAGCTCTGCTATACACTTTTTTCTATACTTCTCAAGGCCAAAAATACAGAGCTCCTAGAAAAGAGGGACAGAGGGAAAATAGGGACTGTCTCTCCTAAATAGGGATACTTGGGATAGATGTGTTCCAGGCTAGGTAGAATTTAAAGGGAATCGTTGCATTGTCCCTCAATTGTGTTGAGCAAAAGATTCAGAACAGAGACCAACAAAAATCCATATGCCCATCCACTCCGCTTGTTGTTTTTGTAAAATTTTCACAGACATATGGACAAGTGATTTTTTTTTCATGCCTGCATTTATGTGTGTATGTGTGTTTATAATTATCCACGCACACACGTGAGAATATGCGTGTTGTGCAAATCAGTTCTGTGAAATAACTCACCAGCAAATGATTTTTCCCGTCTAACAATAATACATTGTGAATGTAACTCATAGGACAGGACACACCTTTCCAGTGTGGCAAAATTATTCTGCACCTGTTTAGGCAACATATTTTTGTTCAATCATTTTCGCTGAATTTACTTCTAATTACATTCATACAAGCATGCCACTCTGCTAAATGAGAAAAACAGATAATATAACTCATTACACATTGGTGTAAAGAATAACTTGATTTTTTCTAAATATTACCGATTAGTTTGGGATATATATGCAATACAATTTATATCTGAACACTAAACATAATTAACTTAAAAGTGACAGTTCCATAAATATTCTAGAAAATGAGTGCCGATTACTATTGATAAGTATATTCATACTATTTTTTTTTATATATATTTGATTTTCTCATGAAGCAGATACAATCTGTCAACCCATATCCAACCATTGTATACAATCTTTTATACATAAAGTGCTTGATATTTTATTTTTATTTTATGGTTTTACTTTTTTCTATACTTCTCAAGGAATCCCTAAAATAGCTGCAAATAGTTAGAAATAGGTGCATCAATTGTAGGTCAATCAGGAACCCTAATATATAAATGAACCTGTGTTCAAGCAGACATTAAGGAGTAGATTCATCTCCACATGTCTAGAGAATTAGAAAAGAAACAATATGACAGGAATCAGAGAAAAGACAATTCCACATTTGGCAAAAATAGTGTCAATTCTTCACAATTCTCAGTTTAGTGAATAATATTCTAGAAAATTCCTTGTATAGTTCTAAACAGAATTTTTCAAAAATACTTACATAGTTGTGAAAAAAGACCAAAGTCCATTAAGTTCACCTGTGAAACCCATTTTCTTATGCTGTTGTTCGAAAAGAAGGCACCCATCCCCCTTAAGTGTAGCCATTTCCAGTTATGCTACAAAAATGGAAACAAAAAAATTCTTCTTGACTCCATAATGGCTATAAGATTTCTCATTGAATAAACAACCTGTTTACATACATATCAATTATATCCTTAACTATTCTGTTAATGCAAAAATGCATCAAAGCATTTTTTTTTTTTTTACATTTATCTATAGAGTCTGATAACACAACCTCTTTAGGCAGAGCATTCCACATGTTTATTGTTCTTACTGTAAAGAACCTATTCCTCTGCTATAAGTGAAAACACTTTTCTTCCAGTCTCAATGTGTGACCTCTTGTCTGTTGTATATTCCTGCTAATGAACATATTAGCACATAGCGGTTTGTACTGACTCTATATATATTTGTATAGTACTAACATATCCCCTCTGAGACACCTGTGTTCTAAAGAAAACAATTCCAGATTTCTAGCCTTTCCGCATAACTAATGTTTTCCATTCTCCCTTACTAGTTGTGTAGCTTGCGTCTGCACTTTTTCTGGTTCTGCAATATTCTTCTTTAAAACTGGCGCATAATATTGCACCGCAAATTCTATCCAAGAACATGATAATTTGTCTAAAACAACCAATTTTGGTTTTTCTATCAATCTTTCATGTGGAGCTATATCAAATGCCTTAGCAAAATCCAAGTAGATGACATCTACTGGAACACCCTGATTAATATGTCTACTAACTTCTACTATTTTAAAAACAGTGGTATGAATATTTATACACTAAGCTCCTAAGCTCTCTAACAACATGTGGGTGAATACCACCTGGCCCTGGGATTTGTTTACATTAACTTTCTTTAGTTTCTGAAGCACTTTACCCTGTGTTAAGCAGTCACCTGTTTGCTGAAAGGCTTTTGTAACAGGGATTTGCAAATCTACAGCCATAGATTCTTCTTCACTATATACTGAAGAAAAATAATTATTTAGAATTTCTGCCTTGTCCTTTCCTTGATTAGCTCACCCATCTCATTTGCCAATGGACCAACACTTTCACTCTTAACCTTTTTGGCATTAACATATTTTTCATTTTCAAGTTTAGCCCATCTAATTGGTATTTTGCAAGCCCTATTGGTATGCTTATATTTGTGATAAGATGCAATCAAGCCCTCTGATTTAAATGTTTAGAGTGTCCTTTATTATCAATATTTGGGGTAGTATTTTTCAAGAAGAAGTAGGAGAATGATCTAAAACCTATTGTTATATATTGATTTTAAAAACATCTTGAAAGAAAAAAAATTTAGGATAGGTTCACTTAATACATTTTATGACTATTAATGCCCATAAATTCTGGAATAAAATGTGAAGGTTTGTTCTATAAACTGGATTGTGGTGAACTGAAAACTAAATAAAAAAACAAACTACTAAACCTTCCCAATCATACCTACTTATTATGGCCTAAATTTAGTTATTGAGGTTTTAATTCCCTAGCAATCACAAATCAGTTAATTAACTTCTAAATTATAATTTTTAAAAATGTATTTATTTATTAATTTTGGATGGCACTATGTTTTCGTGTGAAATTAACCACTGACAGATACTGGTTAAT